AAGCTGGACGGACGCTTCAAAGCTCGCCTGGTAGTCGGAGGACATCGTCAAGAGCCAGGACAGGACTACGGACGCAGCTACGCACCAGTATGCCGTATCGGGAGCATTCGCATGACGTGCGCCATTGGCTGCCTGCCACAACAGCTGGCCCATCTACCAACTGGACGTTGTCGGTGTCTTCCTGAACGCCCTCTGCGACAGAGATGTGTACGTCAGACCCGCCCCCGGTACATCCGCCAAGAACTCCGCGACGGGAGAACCCATGGTGTACAAACTAGAACGGAGCCTCTACGGCCTATCGCAGTCGCCTGCGCTCTGGAACGACACCCTGGACGAATCCCTCACGGTGTTCGGATGGAAAAGGACTCAATCCGACCCCTGCGTGTACGTGTATACCACCGGCAACATCATCGTGATTCTCACGGTCTACGTAGACGACATTCTCATCACAGGAGGAGACCAGCAGCTCGTGGACCAGAAGAAGAAGGAGCTCACGGATCGATTTGAGATGACCGACATGGGAGAGGTCAAGCGGATCCTCGGGATCGGCGTGCAGCGAGACTACGAGCAAGGAACCCTGGCCATTTCACAGGAGCACTACGTGAACACACTTCTGGAGCGGTTCGGAATGCAAGAGGCCAACCCAGTGAGCACTCCTGGATACGGAGCGGAAATCTCCACGAATCAACCTCAGGACCAAATCCTAGGACCCACGGAAAAGAAAAATTACCAGTCGATGACAGGAAGTATCCTCTACCTGGCCCAGTGCACGCGATTCGACCTCTCTTACGCTGCCCTACAACTTTCCAAGGCCTGCAGCAACCCAGCGCAGGTGAACATGACAGCAGCCAAGCACGTTCTGCGATACCTTCGGGGTAATCCAGGTCTTCCTATCGTCTACAAGAGAGGACAGTTTCGGCTAGCGGCGTTTACGGATTCATCCTTCGGAGCAAACCCCGACAACGGAAGATCTACCACGGGATATCTCTTCTTTCTGGCTGGAGGACTCATCAGCTACGGTGCGAAGACTCAAACTCTAACCGCGCAAAGCACGGTCGAAGCCGAGATTCAAGCACTTAGCTACTCAGCCAGAGAGGCGGTCTACATCTCAAATTTTATGACGGAACTCAACTTCAAGACCTTCGGATCGGTTCCCATCAACAGCGACAGCACCGGAGCGCTGACAGTGGCCGGGAATGCCATGCACTCTCAACGCACGAACGTGGCCCTGAGGTGCTTTTTCATCCGGGAGCTAGTACTACGGGGACAAATCACTCTTCACCACCGGCCCAGCGAGCACCAGTTGGCTGATATCGCGACCAAGTACCTCCCAAAGCACCGATTCGCCTCCATCATTCAGCAGATCAAGGACTTCTCGTGTTGATCGAAGATCTGTGAAGCTCCCTTCCATACCAGAAGGAATTTATTTTCGATACGGTGCCAACGGAGGGGTCGAGGTAGACAAGGATATGGTGATGCCGTCGACCATTGTGAATTAGTTGCTTGATCGAGGGGTCGTGTCAGGAAAATCGTGCGTCGAGACCACCAGTAGTCGGACACGGTTTGACCTTTGAATACGATTGCAGCAACTAGTCTGTGTAGCAGTAGAAAAGAATCCATCTCTCCTTGGCATGTATTCTCTTGGTCTAGATATATTCCGGAAGCATGCTAGGTCAAGGTTGACCGGGGCATCTATGTAGAACGTGTGTAGCTTCTGGAAGCCTTCTGGAAACTTCTGGTTCCTCCTGTAGCCTCTGGAAGTCTTTCTGGAAACTTCTGGTTCCTTCTG